CAGGTAATAGTTTTTTCCAGAACCAATGTTTCTTCCACAAGAGTGTCATCTCTTCAATTGGTACACCTTTGGTTTCAGGTAACAGGAAATAGACAAAGATTGTCATCACTGTAACCCAACCAGCAAAGAAGAGGAAGATTCCAAACTTGAATGCACAGAGGAGAGAGAGAAAAGCTTGAGCTATGATGAATGTGAAGAAGAGGTTTACAGCAACCGTTATACTCTGTCCCGCTGAACGAATCTCCAACGGGAAGATTTCGCTCGGTATTGTCCAACCGAGAGGTCCCCATGACCATCCGAATGCTACAACAAATAGACAAATGAAGATGACTACGATGATCGAGTACCCTTTCGATAGATTATCTTGTGTGTCTCCGAATTTCAATCCTAAGATCACTGAGACTATGACTTGACAGATTATCATTTGTATTCCTCCACTGATGAGAAGAGCTCGTCGTCCTAATCTGTCAACTAATGCTATGGAAACCAATGTAGAGAGGACGAGAACAGCTCCTGTTAAAGCCGATGAGTAGAGAGAAGCATTTCCTCCAAATCCCATTGTTTGGAACAGAACAGGCGCGTAGAAGAGAATTGAGTTTATTCCGGTGAGGATCTGAAACATAGGCATACAAATCGCCATAACTAGCTGAGGTCTATGTTGTTTCTTCAGAATGTTCCTGAATGGATGTTTGATGGAATTCGCTAGCTCGCTAGCATCTACCATGTCTTGAAGCTCGGCATTGACGTTTCCAGTTCCTCTTAGTTTCTCGAGAACTCGTCTTCCTCTCTCCGTCAATCCTCTTTCGACTAAACTGTTGGGAGTCTCGGGTAAGAAATACCCGCCAAGCGTCATAAGTAGAGCAGGAAAAGCAGCTAAACCAAGAGAGAGTCTCCATCCCCAGGGCTTAAGCTTTTGAGTACCGAAATTGACCATATTCGCCGTAAAGATCCCAAGAGTTGTAGCTAACTGAAACATCATGTTTAAACCACCTCGTAAATGAGTTGGTGCCACTTCTGATAGATACAAAGGAACAGCCTGAAAAAAACAAATCAAAACCAAAACTGAATGAGATTCTTCGGTTTGATCATCGCCCGAAATCAAACCGATCAATCTGTCTGTCTATCTAACCTGATTACCGAATCCGATACCAACACCGAGCAAGATCCGTCCTACGAGAAGCATTGCTAGATTGACAGCTCCAGCATTCAAAGCAGAACCAATAAGAAAGGCGATTCCACCACAGACAATACTCGCACGCCTACCATAGTTCCTAGTGATTGGTGAAGCAAACAGAGTTGAAACCAAACCAGCTAGGTACAATGAAGAAGTGAAAGTAGCTAATCCTTGATCATCATATTTACAGTAATTACTTTCATGAGCAAGTTTCTTCTTCTCATAAACCGAATGGAAAAACTCCTCAAGGAATTCATCCATTGACGTAACTCCTCCTGTAATAAACAAAAAATCATGATCCATTTCACTAAAGCTTTCACATTTTTTTGTTTTGGAAGAAGAAGGAACCTGAGACTCCAATGTCATATCCAAAGATGGCTCCACCAATGGCTGCAACAAGGCAAGCGATTATGACATAACTAGTGACTTTCCCTTGGTATTGTTCTGCTCTTTCCTTAGCCACACCGGTCGGACCAAACGACCCTCCTGCCATTTTCTTCTTCTTGTTTGATACAATGGTTTGGTCTTTTTGGTTTTATTCAGATTTCCAGAATCTGAGAGAAAACGAAACAAAAACAAAAAAAGGGTATAATACATTTTGATTAGAATATTGGAGAGTTGAATGTTATTTTTTCCTTTTTTTTTGAGATTTGTGATAATTGAGTGTGAATTCTTGTTTGGTAGATCATTTGTCTTTATTTTAAAAAAAGAGAAGTCATTTTCTTGACCTTATCTTTTACATTATCTTAAATATTTAATGCCTAATTTTGCATGTCTTGTTTTCATCTCCATTTTTCACAAAACTTCTTTGATTCAAAGTAGACTTTTTGAAAACAAAAAATATTTACCTTTTTGCCAAATGTCATGGTTAAGAAAAGTGTTTTGTTCTTAATACTTTAGATTCCGATCTTATTCCAATCAACACCTGGGAAAAAACAAAATCGTCTCCAATCAGTTTCTTCAAGTCTTGAATAATGAAGAGAAATATGAACAGAGTTTTAATTTTTTTTTCAAGTCAATTTTTTTTTTTCACACAGAAAGTAAGGAAAGAAAAAAAAGACAGAGGAGTGGTCGTCCGGTCTTTTGATTCCACAAGAAATTGGTGATGAAAAAAAGGTTGAAAAAAATTAAGAATTGACTTACAGGAGAAAGGAAGAAGAAATGTGATGATTTTTTGGTTACTGAAATTATTAAGACTTTGTTTTGCTATTTATATCATCATAAAAATTATTTTTAATCTCCTAAGATAAAGCCGATGTTAAAGATGTGTTGTTGACTAAGTTTTTCCCAATAAAACACCAAAAAAACGTTACACTCGAAT